ATACAAATATTTATATATATGTATAAGAGTTTTTTACTGTGTGAATCTGTCTCAGTGTATTTCTGATGCCTCTGTATGACCATCATAAAAAACAAGACCATCAGCGAGAAGATATTTCTGTGTAGTTAGGGTTAGGTGTGCCTTCCACCGGGTTGGATTGGGTCGGATTCCTCTGAAATCAGATTAAATGAGGCAGTGGAAACACTAATGCTTTTATCAACAGGGGGCGCCAGAATCAACACAAAATGAAAGTCCCTTGCAGCTGCTTTAATCCTCCTTGTTTCCAAAAGATTGGATTGTAATTTTAGACAGCAGTTGCTCTGTAAAATTACCACTGGCCTTTAAGTAACACTTGTGAAAATGAGTGCTGTTGTGCTGCATCATCACATTTTCACCTTCTAAAGTGACCTGCTAGCTCAAACTGTGGCCAATGACTGCATGGCTGTATGGCTGCTTGTTGAGAGTGTGTCTCTCACTAACCACAGGGAACAATTCAAACACAGCAGGCGGAAGATTTACCTCTAGCAACTTTGCAAAAGGGCTGTAATTCCCGTTTGAGCGAAAGCCAAATAACACATGAAACTCTCCCTCAGGGTGGAAACCCCACAACAGCAGATGAAGAAGAGCATCTAACTAGTGCAGTGCCCCAGTATCTAGGCCAGTACTGGGGGCTGGGTAGTGAGCGTTACATGGTCTGGTGGCTCCATAGCTTTTACAACCCCAACAATGGCCTGCATTCAGCATGACTGCAGTTGCGAGGCTGGGACAGTTGCCTTTCAGCCCCTCCCTGCTTTCACACTGCTGGAACTGGACCTGTATTATCTTATCTCTCAGTAAGAAAATAATCATTTTAGTAATTGCTATAATTTAAAACAATTGACCAAGGCCTTATTCAAAACATTATTCATATATTTGAACATGGAAATGATGTGGTATTTTAGTCATTTTTGTGCCAGGCTGACCTCACTGACCTCTATTCAAAATCTCATGAGAACAGATAGATTACAACATAGCAGCTTGTTTTTGTATGTATGTGGGACAATAAATTGGACTGCAGGAATAGTATAGGGCCAAACCATCAAATCCTGACACAGACTGTGCTTTATTTCCTCTGGATATCAAAACTCATATTTTGAAAATAATGTTGTGTTTCTCAGCAGTCAGTGACATTACCAGTGGCAATCACACACATCCTAAAATGCAAAGAGGTCACAGCAGAAGCTAGTAGCAACCATTTCAGCCACTGTTTTATTTCATAAAGCCAATATTTTACTCAATTCTTCCATTCCATTCAGCCACTTTTTATTCCATATGTCCACTTTTTATTC